CTACAGGTTCCGCCTCCAGCAATGGCACATCTCTCACAGGCTCAACCCACTCGAGCATGGGTGGTGTTGGGTAGTGATGGGCCACTTCATCCCTGTCGACCATATCTCAGCTGCACTAACCCTTCCAACGCACCACGGAGGAATCTCTAGCATCTCCGGTGTTATCTTGGACTGGAGGAACTTACGAATCCTCAGTGCAGGAGACGCCAATTCCCTTCTCTCATCTCTTAGCACGATGGCTCTGCCATTCCCCTTATGCCTCCACGGAGAATCCCTTCTTTCGTCTCTAACTACAATAACTCCGTTGTACATTCCCATTGTTGATTCTGAGCTCATGATGTCGTTTGTTGGTTCAAATGTATCATTTCTGTTAGCTAATTTGAACTCAATTGAAATGTTCTCAACGCTTACTTTGATTATAATCGGAGCAGAATTTTAAAAGCAGTGGGATAAAGAAAATGATCATTTTCATGGGAATAGTTGTGTTGGGCATTCTATTTAGTAATAAATAAGTTACAACAGATAATTTTTGTAAAACCCATTAGCCTGGCATTCTATTTTGTTTTTGTATAAATAATGGTTCTGACATTTAGTTTTATAACGGATGATTGGAAAAAAAAAGAAAAAAAGAACAAAAAAAAACCAACACGCAATATAGACAAATGCGCACTAACTTTATAAATAATAATAAAAAAAAATGACATCAAAGTATATTTGTATTGGAATTTGGAACAAAAACAAAATTTAATTTTATACGTACAAAACATATAAATGGAAGGTCAACTCAAATTCTTCACAAACTACAAATAGATTATTTGACATAGGAATACTCTAATTTTAATTTATACCAAACATATATCTAATAGACCTAAAAAGTTATCTGATGACATTAAAAAAGCTGTGACATTGATAACAAAAAAATATTTAATTTTTGTGCACATAAAACTAAGGGTATTTTTTACCCAAATTTCCCCAAATTTTAATATTTGGATTCTGCTTTTTTCAAAAAAAAAATATATATATATAGATATTTTTTCCTCTCACAAAACATTCCCAGCAAAAAAAACACACCCTAGGTGAGGCAAATAATAAATATCTTAAATCATTTGACAAATTTTCACAATATATATGTTACTAAAAGACAAATATTTGTATTTTCTCTTAAAATAACATCCTACATAAAAATGTAATATATTCTTTTTGACAATACTATAGTAACGGGATACAAAACTTAAACCGGTTATAAATTTTCAAATCTATATATATTTGATGTCTTCTCAAATAATTAGACCCACTCCATTACAATAGCTACCTTAACTCCATCAAAAGCAATATTATTTTAAGAAATTGTAAATACAAATAAATATTTAAAAAATAAATAAAATAAAAAATCTTACCATTATGTAAAAATTGAAATCTCACCAAATTATAAGAGAATTTGTTGTGTCTTTCTCTGCCTTCAAACTTGCCTCAAGAATAAAAATATCAAGTTGATAAAAATGACATTAACATTTCATAAAATATTTACTTTATTTTCACAATCTCGTAGATTTGAGTTGTTTTGTTAAGCATAGAAAAAAAATAATTGAATAACAATGACGACACAATGTATCAAATGAAAAATAAAAAGGAATTTGAAAATAGATTGAAAAATATTCACCTCAAGATCAAATAATATTAGTCGACTCTCCTAGATTAGATGCATATAGTTTGAAATATCCTAATACTCACTCAAATCTAGATTCTATATTTAATAAATATAAGTCCGACAAATAACTTAGTTTAATTCAAATTGTGGCCGACATGAAAAAAAAATAAAAGATAAATCATATGACCGGGAAAGAGACAAAAATTAATTATGTAAAAAATCATATTTTACTTGTGACTTTGAATTCAATTTTAATATTATTTTGCCGTAAAAACTATCTATATCTCAAACATCAAAATAAAACCAAATCACAAGTAAACACACCATAAAATTCATCTATCAATATCATGAATATAAATGAATAAATAAATTTATAGTTTGCTATTTTAACAAAATCTCATGAATATATCAAAACAATTTGTAGAAATTTTCAAGCCTATCTTGTTTCTATATAGCAACTCCCTCCCATGTAAAAACATGTAGAAGCAAAGTGAGAGTATGAAGTTTTAGTAAATCTTATACATAGCAATGGTTTCCAAAAAAAGAAAATGATAATGTGCCACTTGAATCAAGATTAAGGTTTCCATAAAACCCTTCCCCCCTTCTCTTTTTATGATCTCAAACTATTTTATTCTGCAAAATATGAAAATTTCATTATAAAATTCTTTTTTTTTTCTTAAGATTTATGCGGGCATACCCTTTTTTTTTGGTCAATTTTGATACTACAAAACTACTCCAACCAAATGCTCTTAACCCATGTCCTCGAAACTAATGCAATTAAAGCAATTTTGATGTTTTGAACATCATCATCCTTATAACTTATTAAAACCCACAATTAATGAAAATGGAACTCTAAACTTCAGTTATGATCACTCTGGACAAATTGTCAAAAACTGAGATCAATCTTGTAGGCGCAAAGAAATCAAACATAAAGCTAATCATTCAAGACATATATATCACCAAAATGAAGGCAAAAGAAATTGTCATTGTTTTATAAACTATGAACATATGCTTTAATGCTAGAAGTGGTTGCGAAGTCAAAGAGAAAGCAAAGAAAATAGCAATCTTTATTATATGTAATGATTGAAATCAAGAGACCAATATGTTTCTTTTCTTTTCCAATTAAATTTTTGGATATTAAATAAATTTTCCTTCAGAAAACATCATCATCGAATCTAATTTTTAATTAAAATTCATAATCCAATAATTATTTAAAAATTCAAAATTTTTTAATATTTATAAAATAGCAAAAAATAAAAAATCAAAATCAAAAAATAAATACATACGCGAAGAATTATTGTCTTAGTGCAATAGCTTCAACTATAATTACTACAAAAGTCATCCGTTAACAATGATTCTTTATCATCACTATCTAATAATTAATTATTTTATAAAATGATATTTTCAGATTTAGTAAAAAGAAAGACCTATATGAAAAATGAACCAACCATCGAAACAATTACATCATCGACCATACTTTAAGAAATTGCAAAGAAAAATAACTAGTTTTCTCACTGAACCAAAATGTTTGGACAAATTTTCCAATTAATATTATAAAAAATACCCTGTATAAATGTATTTACACAAATTATATAATATATTATATCTACTAAAAAATCAAAAGTTTAATATAAAATATTATATTATATATTACTGATGCACTTCCTTTTATCTAACATTAAAAATGCATCAAACACAAAACACAACACACTTAAATATACCAAACAAAAAAAATACTTACAGTTTTGTAAAAATTGGACAAAGGATGATGAATTCCTGTCTTCTTCCGTTTTCAAAATTGCTTCTAAGAAACTGCATACATGGAATAAATTTCACAAAAGATTTATATTTAATCATTGGAACATTTATTTTTCTATTTTATTGTTTATTTTTATTCATGTTAGACTATGCTTATAAATAGGTGTTTGCTTTATTATTATACAATTAATTATTTTCCTCTCAAAATTTTAAATGATATGAGAGCCAATAGATTATGTTCGTCGACTTCCGGCCATCACCGACTCTCACCTCCGGCACCACTATGTTCCTCGTCGTCCGCTGATCCTTCTCCGGAAAAATCTCTCCGATCAGCGGCGCATATAGGTCACATGTGCCGGTCAACTCTCACGCTACCAGAACTTTGACCGGTGCGTGAGAGCCACCCCGACATCAATCGCCGCCATCTTTTGTTTTCCTCGTCATCTCGTCCTCCTCTACATCATGGTGTCATTGGATTTTATTTTTGTGACAGTTTTATTTTTTGGAATTTTATGTCATGTTTATGTAATCTACCGGTTATTGTATTATATCGGTAGAGTATTGTTACTGTCATTGTCAAGGTCATGCCATTCAAAATTATCATGTTAGACCACTTCGAAATGCGTCAAATATTCGGTCTTCTTGTCACCCTGCATCTGCAACCCTCTAGGATATCATGACTCTCACGCATCAAGTTCTCGCTTCTAGTTTCTCTCATGTCATGGCCATTTCATGTAGTCATTTTGATGCGAACTTGCCAAGGATGACAGTTCGGATCGAATTCTACAGGAATAAGTTATAACAATATTGGAGATTTGGATAGAACAAGGGATGGATGGATAGATTTATATATCTATATTAATGGGGATAAATTGGACTTCCTTGAATTGAGAGGCAGTCGGGAAGGCAACACGAGAGATCAAGCTCACGTCACACAATCCTTTAAACAAGCTGACAATACAAGCTAAGGCAAGAATAGTTCCGGTACTATTCGAGAGGCCACGACTTGTTTCAAATCACTTGAAACAACTCGATTTGGGGATATGAAGATGTAACCAAATCACTCAAGATTACACTCCAAAATACACAAGAATCGCTCTTGAAATAAAAACCAATTTATAAAATATCTTTGTTGAATGAATAATTCTTACAATGATAATCATGGGACCTTTTATAGAGGAACCATGGAAATTTAAAACACGAAAGTACATTTTTAAAGGAAATAAAATCATATAGGGGATATTTATTATAATTAGCCTTATTTAGTATTATTGACCCATAATTCATGGCAATCCCATGATTATTGGTAATCCCTTGATCTATGGAATTCCTTCATTTAGGGGATATTGATTCATGGGATCCCTTCAATTAGGGATAGTAATTTAGGGGAGGTCCAATGCTTTGTAAGGTGCTCCTGGCCTTATGGTCTTTGGGACTTGTGGTCCAATTCTAGAAGAATGCATGGTTTATTTTGATCCTCGGTGTAGAGTTCAGAAGTAGCATCTATTTGAAGTTTGGCACACTTTGTAATTACCAATTGAAATTTATGGGCTCGGCTCATAGTGATTGGTCTAGGAGGAATTATGATAGGGTCCTATTCCGTCATGATTGTCACATCATCCCCCATGTCTTCAAAAGGTTGTTCCATCAACCTCTCGTCACCTACATCAAACGAAGACAAGTCATCAACACTAAATGTAGCATGGGCATTATACTCACCTGGGAGGTCTAGTTTGTAGGCATTATCGTTTATGCATTCAACGACTTGAAAAGGAGCATCGCCTCGTGGGGACAACTTAGATTTACTGTGCCGGAAATCTCTCTTTTCATAAGTGAAGCCACACCCAATCACCGGGTTGGAAGACAATCTTCTTGTGGTGACGATTAGCAGCTTTGGCATTCCGCACATTGGTGGCATCAATTTCCTTCTGTATTGTCTTATGAAGCTCCTGATCTTCTGTGCCTGATCACTGAAATTAACATTTCGTCGCTCACTACGTGGTAGTGGCAATAGGTCAACTAGAGAAAGTGGATTGAAGCCATGCACTACTTCAAAAGGAGATATGTTGGTAGCACTATGAATAGCTCGATTATATACAAACTCAACATAAGAGAGACAACTTTCCCAACTACGGAAATTCTTTTTGATAATACACCTACGGAGGGTGCCTAGGGTGCGATTTGTTACTTCCGTTTGACCATTGTTTGTGGGTGATATGAGGTAGAAAGGAGAAGTTCCGTCCCTAATTTTCCCCAAATGTTTTTCCAGAAAAAGCTCAAGAATTTAGAGTCCCTATCATATACAATCGTACGGGGAATTCCATGCATTCTAACTACTTCTTTGAAAAACAAATTAGCAATATGCATTGCGTCATTCGTCCTATTGCAAGGAATAAAGTGAGACATTTTTGAAAACCTATCAACAACAAACATGATAAAGTCCTTACCTCCTTTTGTACGAGGTAGCCCTAAAATGAAGTCCATACTCAAATCTACCTAAGGTATGTCGGGTGTAGGTAGTGGCGTATATAAACCATGTGGTAGCATTGTGGAATTGGCTTGTCAACATGTAATGCAACGTGTAATGTGTTGTTCCACATCCGCACGCATCCCTAGCCAATAAAATTTTTCTTGCAAAATTTTAAGAGTTTTGGTGGCTCCAAAATGCCCCATGAGTCCACCATCATGGACTTCGTGAGTTAAAACAGTTCGAATAGAACCTTGTGGAATACACAACTTGTTAGCCTTATACAAATAGCCCTCATGCAAATAGAAATCTTTAAATCCAGTGTTGGCACACTTATTAAAGATGTCAGAAAAATCTTTATCATTTGCATACAATGATTTTACATGTGAAAACCCTAGCAATTGAGAAGTCAAAATAGTAAGAATGTGAGTGCGCCTAGAGAGTGCATTAGCTACGACATTATCCTTTCCCTTCTTATATTTTATCACATAAGGGAATGTATCAACAAAAACAATCCATCTGGCATGCCTCTTATTTAGTTTAACCGGAGTTTTTATATGCTTAAGGGACTCGTGATTTAAGTGGATAACAAATTCCTTTGGCAAAAGATAATATTGCCATACCTGAAGTGCACGAACCAAGGCATATAACTCCTTGTCGTAAGTTGGGTAGTTCAAGGCTGCGCCACCTAGCTTCTCGTTGAAGTATGCAATAGGTTGGAAATTCTGCATTACAATGGCACCAATACCCACACCTGAAGCATAACATTCAAGTTCAAATGTTAGTTCAAAGTTCGGGAGTTTAAGAATTGGGGCATGAGTTAACAAATATTTCAGTTTGTCGAAGGCCTGTTGTTGCACTTCTCCCCAACTAAACAATTCATCCTTGCGAATAACAGCAGTGAGAGGGGCTGCAATAGTGCTGAAATCACGAATAAACCTTCGGTAGAATCCTGCCAAGCCATGGAAACTACAAACTTCACGAACAGTGGTAGGGACAGGCCACTCCTAGATGGCTCTGATCTTCTCCTCATCGACTTGTATTCTCTGTGTGCTAACAACATAGCCAAGGAATAGACAACTAGAAACACAAAATGCACATTTTCAACATTTGCATATAGTTTGTTCTGCCTCAATAAAGTGAACACTTCTCTCACATGCTCAATGTGTGGAGACAATTCCTTACTATAGATCAAGATGTCATCAAAGTAAACAACCACAAACTTTTCTATGCAATGTATAAGACCATGATTCATCAATCTCATAAAGGTACTAGGGGCATTAGTTAAGCCAAAAGGCATGACAGTCCACTCATACAGCCCTAGCTTAGTTTTGAAAGCAATTTTCCACTCATCTCCTTCTCTCATTATTATCTGATGGTAACCACTTCTAAGTTCAATTTTTGTAAAAAGAGCAACACCCTGAAGTTCATCAAGCATATCATCTAATCTAGGAATAAGATGTCTATACTTAATGGTAATTGCATTTATTGCTTTACAATCTACACACATACGCCACTTACCATCCTTCTTCAGAACGAGGAGTACCGGTACCGAACATGGACTAAGGCTCTCACGCACCCACCCTTTATCTAACAAGTCTTGGATTTGTCTTTGGATCTCTTTGGTCTCATCTGGGTTAGCCCTATATGCTGGCCTATTAGGCAATTGAGCGCCAGGTATGAAACCAATCTGATGTTCAATACCACGGACTGGAGGCAACTCGTTTGGTAGTTCCTTGGGTAATACATCAGAAAATTCCTGTAAAATATGATAGAACTCTAGAGGCAGGTTAGATTGCAAATCAGAAGTTGTAAGGAAATTAAACTTACAAAGCAAAATGTAAATCCTATCACTCTCATCCTCTCGAATGGATTTAATATCCTTTCGAGTGAAAAATATGGCCTGGTCACTGTTTCTCCCCATTTGAGAAAGGGTATCTTTGGTAGGTACTCCCTTACTTTTCTCTCATTTTTCTAAGGGGATCACTCTTGGAACTTGCAATGGGGCGGTCGTAGATGAACTTGCCATGGAATTTATGTCTGCCTCTTGTACGGGGTTTTGAGTTCCCGCTGATTTCGAGACGTTCTTTATAGCCATCATTTCTTGAACATGATTTCTTTGTATCACTTCCTGATCCGTATGGGCTTCTTGTGGGGTAAGGCAAGTTTTTGCCCTCATGTGTGAGCATAAAAGTATTTTCCTTCCCAAAGTAGGTGACACTGCAATCGAATTGCCAAGGCTGTCCAAGTAGTATCTAGCAAGCCTGCATCGGCACAACATCGCATACAACCTGGTCCATATAACCACGAATTTGGAAGGTTACCTCAACTTGTTTATTTACTTGTAGTTCCCCATTATTGGTCAACCACTGCAATCGATAGGGTCGCGGATGGGGCTTGGTGACAAGGTTCAACTTTTTGACCAATGCCTCACTAAGCACATTGGTGCAGATTCCGTTATCAATTATCATGCTGCAAATCTTGCCTTTGATTTTGCAACGACATTGGAAGATGTTCTCCCTTTGCATTTGGGCTGGTTTCTCCTTTTGAAAATGTACTAAGAGACCGGAGAGTTACCACCGTGATTTTGGAATATTCATCATCTTCTGCAGCAGTACTTTCCTCACATACAAGAATTTTCTCACCGTTTACATCTCCTTCATTATCGGTGACAACTTCACCCGCATCCGTCAAGATCATGGCCTTCTTGTTCGGACACTCAGAGGCATAGTGCCCTTTCCCTTGACACCAAAAATAGGTAATTTCACGATTTTGGGGATTCTTGCCATGGACATATTCCTTTTGGGATTTTCGAGTTGTGCCAGCATGCGCAACACCTTTTTCTTTGTCAACATTAGAAAATTTATTAATGTTAGTATTGGGAATACCTCGGGGCTCCAGGATAGTTTGGGTGGACCAGGGTGGTGGTCGATTGAAAGAATCAGCTCGCCCCCTTCGCTCGTGTTGTTTCTCCAATAAAATCGCACGTTGGAGCAATTCCGACAAGTCAACATACGGGTGTAGCTCTAAAGTGTCCCTCAAATCTTGGTTAATTCCACTTATGAATCGAACCATGGTTGCTTCAGGGTCCTCCACAATATCAGCCTACATCATGGTTGTCTCAAGCTCTTTGTAATACTCCTCTACACTTCTATTACCTTCAGACATTTGTTGAACTCGTTCGTGCAGCTCTCTCCTATATCAAGATGGTACAAATCATTTCCTCATAGCCTTTTTTAGCCCATCCCATCTGGTGATCCGGGCCTTCCCTTCTCACATTCGTTTCATACTCAGTTGTTCCTACCAATTATGGGCATAGTCGGTGAACTCCATTACATCAATTCTCTTCCATTGCACATCATCATATATAGAGCAATCTCGAATCAACTCCATTTTCCTCTCCCAATCAAGATAAACATCCGGGTCAAAATTCCCATTGAAATAAGGGATGCTGATCTTCAAGTTCCTCATAGGATCTTGATTTTGGTTGTCTCTATTTGGAGAGGGTGGCTCCCATTCTTCATCAAAATTTTCAGAAGAGTCTTCCCTACCTCGGTGTGTAGGATTCCGCCTTGCAGATTGACTAGCGTCAGCAGCGGGTCAGCCCTGCTGACGCTCAGTTGTCAATTCTCGAATAGATTGAGCAAGATCAGCCAACATCATGTACGGTGTCCATCTCGTCAGTAAGTTGCTTCGTGAATCGTGTTTCCAATGCTTTGGATAGCGTTGCGATTTGAGGATTAGGGCGCTCGTTTGGGTGTCCTTCACCTGCCATCAAAGAAAAATGTAAAATAACAAGGGTATATCCTCACACAGGTTTCTCCTCTCTTGAATCGCGCTCTCCGGTATGTAATGATCTCCCCACAAACACTCTTTCACTCCGCTCGTGTTTGACTCACTTAAATAAAACTGGCAACGACCCAATGCAATTCCCAAATCAAGAAATTCAGATAAAAATCACAAGTAATTGGACCTTTAGATAATCGAATAGAAATAGGAGAAATATTATAAACATTTTTATTTTTATTTTTTGGAAAGAAGTGGCAATGGATAAGAATCAAAATGCAAATATTAAATAAAGAAAATTAAGAAAAAAAGAATGGAAAAAGAGAAAATGGATAAGAATATATAGAAATATATATTAATGTTATGTATAAAAGGAAACAAAATATTCTCAAGCCATTTTTTTCAATTTTTTTTCTATATTTTCTGTTTTTTTTTTCGGAAATTCTTTTTTTTTTTTTTCAAATATGAACCGCGATATTAATCAAGAGATTGTATCAACTAGCTCTGATACCAGATGCGAACTTGCCAAGGATGATAGTTCGGATCGAATTCCACAGGAATAAGTCATAACAATATTGGAGATTTAGATAGAACAAGGGATGGATAGATAGATTTATATATCTATATTAATGGGGATAAACTGGACTTTCTTGAATTGAGAGGTAGTCGGGAAGGCAACACGAGAGATCAAGCTCACGTCTCATAATCCTCCAAACAAGCTGACAATACAAGCTAAGGCAAGAATAGTTCCAGTACTATTCGAGAGGCCACGACTTGTTTCAAATCACTCAAAACAACTTGATTTGAGGATATGAAATTTAAAACAAGAAAGTACACTCTTCAAGGAAATAAAATCATATAGGGGATATTTATTATAACTAGCCTTATTTAGTATTATTGACCCATAATTCATGGCAATCCCATGATTATTGGTAATCCCTTGATCTATGGAATTCCTTCATTTAGAGAATATTGATTCATGGGATCCCTTCAATTAGAGTTAGTAATTTAGGGGAGGTCTAATGCCTTGTAAGGTGCTCCTAGCCTTATGGTCCTTGGGACTTGTGGTCCAAATCCAGAAGAATGCATGGTTTATTTTGAGTCTCGGTGTAGAGTTCCGCAGTGGCATTCATTTGAAGTTTGACACACTTTGTAATTACCAATTGAAATTTACGGGCTCGGCTCCTAGTGATTGGTCCAGGAGGAATTATGATTGGGTCCAATTCCATCATGATGGTCACATCACCTTTGATTTTGGTCGTTGCAATCATATGACACTTACACTTGGTGTCTTGACCGGTGCGTACCTTGTGTCATCTTCATCACCTATATAGACTACTAATGGGAGCTGCATGAATATCACTAATTCAGGATCAGTATCTTCACAATGTACATATCTTCCTCATACTTACTACATTCTCTAGTTGACTATAAATCATGTATCAAGAGAAAAATTAATTGACTAGAGACTTACTGTTACTTTCTCCTCTACAGGTGTCCAGGTTTTAGGATCGAGTCAAATTCTTGAGACATATCTAAAGTTAGGTCATCGATTTCTGGTACAATCTTTGAAAATTGCTCCCCGTAATTTTTCTGTTATTGCTACTCATACTCCGCTTACTATCATTTCTTCCCCTAGTCTCTAGTGGCCTGTTTGTATTGGTCATGCATCTTCATCTAAATTTCAGTCTCTGTTTAGTAAAGGTCATTTGGGTTATACTAGTTTTGAGTCATTTGACTGCTTACACTATCGTTTGGAAAATTAATCAGCGTTATCCTTTCCATAAATGTGTAGATCGTTAGTAAACCATTTTCTTTGGTTCATTTTGATATTTTGAGTCATTCTTTTGTTCCCTATATAAGTGAGTGTCATTATTATGTCATATTCATAGATGATTACTCCCACTTTATATAGATATATTTTTTGAAACACATCAAACTTAACTCAAATATGGTATCGTCCGTCCATTCAGTGGTGTTGGTTTTATCCTTATTTCTCTGCATGAACGTTTCGAATTGGAACCTCATGCATGTTTATATTTTCTTCTCGGTTTTGGGATAGTCCACAAAGGTTATAGACTTTGTGATCTGATCTCTAAATAGTTTTGATCTATCATCATTTACATTTTGAGAGAGTGTAACACTTTCTATCATGTCTACATTCCATGCATTATCTCTTTTTGGTTCACCTTCATTCGTGTCATATCTCATCGACCAGATCAAGTAAGTCATCCACCTACTCATTTGCGTTATTATCATTATTTTCTGCTATGCTAACTCTACATGCGCGTACTTCATTTCATGAATAAAATTAAGATCCGTTGTGGCAAAAAAAAAACGTCTCAACAATTGAAAACTTTAGAGAAGACTCATTTATAGGTCTTTGTTGATTTACCTCCAGAGAAAGCACCTATGGGCTGCAAATGGATTTTAAATATTAAAACTATGTTTGATGGTGTCAGTTGAGCGTTATAAGGCTCGTTTAGTTGTGAAAGGCTAATAATAGGAACATGATATTAATTACAAGGAAACCTTTGCTCTGGTGGCACGTCTTACCTCTTTTCGTTGTTTAATTGTAATTGCAGTTGTTCGTTAGTGGTCTCTTTTGCAGATAGACGTAAAAAATTACCTTCTCCATGATGATCTCTTTGAGAATGTTTATATGGCATTGTCTATTGGTTCTTTACCTTTTTCTGAAGTCTGCAAGTTATGACGTGCTTTTTATGGCTTCATTCAGACTCCTAGTGCTTGGTTTTCCAAGTTAAGTTCAGCTCTTCTTCAGTTTGGCATCACTTCTAGTTCGCACGACTCTTCCGTTTTTGTTCAACGAAGTACTTATAGTATCATTGTGTTACTTCTGTATATTGATGATGTGATCCTCAAATGAGATGATCATTCTAGCATATTTGATTTACATAACTACCTTTGGAAGCATTTTGATATGAAAAGTCTTTTCCATCTGTGGTATTTCTTGGGTCTTGAGTTTTCTTTTTATGGTTCTAATGTATATTACATGTCCCAAGCTAAGTATGCTTTTGATATGTTCATCGTCACTAATTGCACGATATATTTGACATCCCTCGATCTTGGATGTTGTCTTACATCAATGGATAAGACTCTTCTTGAATAGCCTTCTCTTTATTGTCAGCTTACTAGCATATTGATTTACCTGAGAGTCACTCATTCTAATATTGCTTACGTTATCCATCTGTTAGTCAATTCATCTATGCACCTTGTAAAACTCGCTACTCTGCAGTTCTACGTATTCTTCATTGTGTTAAGGGAGCACTATTGCATAGATTAAACTTCTCAAATCAGTCTCTTTTAACTTTATCTGGGTACTCTGATGCTAATTGGGCAAGTGATCCTATGGATCGTCGCCCCACCACTGGTTTTTGCTTTTTTATTGTGATTCTTTTGTCTTCTGGCGTAGAAGAAACAAATAGTTGTCTCTTATTCCAAAAATAAATTTTAATATCGTGCCCTTGCTGATGCTACTTTTGAGCTCATGTGGTTTTGTTGATTACTTGATGACCTTGAAGTACCGCAATCATCTTTTATTCCTTTGCATGGGACAATATAAGTGCTATCCTGATTTTTCACAATGATATTTTTCACGAGCGCACTAAATAAATCGAGATTGATTGGCATCTTGTTAATTATCATATTACTTATGGAAACATCAAGTTAGGCCCCTTATATTCCAACAATCAAACTGCAGATGTTTTCACCAAGTCACATTGTAATACCTCCGGAGTTGGATCAGTGCTAGGCCAACTCCCATGGATGAGCCGGTGTGAGGCCATCTGAAATTGAATACTAATTAAATGAATTGAATAGAATACTCATGTAAAAAATGTGCACATTCCTTTTCGGTAGTTGTATTGATGATGGGTGACCCACTAAAAAATCTCCCACGGTGTGTGTTAGTGAGGAAAAAAGCACGCTGGAATGACTCGTGTTGACCTGTGGGGCCAGTCTATGATCCTGGCATGCCCAGCTTTGTGGGGCTTGCAAGCCGGGGTGTCAAAATTGATATTAGAGCCGACCTGCGACAACCCAAAGTCGTTAACCTGACTGTTGAGAGGCCTAGCAATATTTTATTTTTAATAGCAAAGGCTGCACCCAAATTGGGCTACCTACATACCCGAATGGGATCAAGCCATACGTAGTTTTACTGATACAAACTATATAATCAAAGCCACGCAAGCAGAGCAGACAATCCTAGGTATGCCTAAGGCATCAACACCAACAAGCCTATCAAGTCTAAGCATAAGTGTCCCAAAGAA